AGTAATGAGATTTCTTTGTGGCAGTGTATGTGTGGAGTTCTCATTTATTTGAATCTAGCCTGTATTAATTTATAAATGAGGGCAACTGAAAGGATGACTCACTGAATCATCCCAATCTCAATAAACTTCTCTTTATGCCTGAAATCTGTCTGAAGTCCCACACTCTGGAATTAAGTTGTTACAGGATTTTACTAGTGCTGGACGAATGCACAGAGAAGATGACAAACCTTGAAGATTCAGAACTTAGAAGCTGAGTAGAAGGAATTGCAAACCTTTTATTTTACAAGGCCTCAGGCAGAAATCTCAAAAACCAGCTGAGTGGCAGGGATCGGCTGTTGTGCTCCACCTCGGCAAAGTATTTGTCACAATATTTTTGACCCACTAACGTCATTTTAGTCCAAATTATCAGTATTTTAACTTCAGACCTCTCAGCTAAAACTGTACTTACACACTTTCATGTAACTGCTTGTCCTCCTGCTGAGTGAGTCTAAGACAAGTCAGAAGCATCTAGTGTTACCAGGTGTTAATAGATGGAATGGTAAAGCTTTGGTTTAAAGCAGACTCCTACAGCCCTGAAGCGATGAACCTGTTCAGTGGGATGTGCTGAAAATCCACAAAGCAGAGAACAGCTTCACACACCACAGGAGACAGACGAAGCTAAGATCTTATTGTGCCAAGCTGCCATCAGCCAGCCTGAAGGCCAGTGGCTGGCTGAGCACGTGACAGGCAGTCAGCTCAGACAGAAGGAAATTAATCTGCCCTCATTCATACAAAGCATGAGCCTTAAACGGATCTTTCAGAGCGCACCCACTGTGCATCAATAATAAGGGAGCTACTTGGCTCTATTTTGATTCAAGAAGAAAAAGTTTAATAGCCCTCCTGCTCTGCAGAGTAACCAGCTCCCACTGGGACAGGGTCTCACAAGTCAACTCCTGCAGGCCTGAGGCTCACTGTGCATGACCAACCAAGGCAACCAAACACAGGGAGGGCCAGGACGAAGCCCAGTCACTCCTCAGGGATGGCCAGCCCCAAGCCTCATAGCCGACGCCAGATGCAGATGCAGGTCCCCATCACTGCATAGGCACATGTGCAAGCCGCAAGGATACGTGAAGAAAGCTAACATGGTGGCTTTGTTAGTGCCCAGTCCACAGTTCCCTTTTAAGCAGGCGTGAGGCTAGAATTACATGGAACAGAATGCAGTTCTCTGTGACTAGGACAGACCTGCATGTGACTTCATTTCATTGATTAAGGAAATGACAAACATGTCTTAAGTAACTCTACCCCCTCAAAAAGGAGCGAGCCCAATTTGCAGGTAATTCAGAAACTTTTGTAGATTAAAGTATCATCTGCATAGTCTCCAAAGCCATTTGAATTGACAAGAGAAGTCAATTCTCTGGAGTGAAATTGCCACCCTTCAAGTGCCAAGCTCTGTTCAGCTGCATGTTCCAGCCAGCTAATCTTATACACCACAACGCAACTGCTGCATTCTGATAACACCTAGGGCCACTAATTAAGGATTTAGTTTGACTGGCAATGCACAGACTTGTACCAAGCAGATGCTCCCTGCCCCAAGGAGCTTGCCTGCAAGCAAAGCTTACAAAACCGACACCTACACTTTACCCACTACATAAATACACAGGAGCACAGGAGTGGAAGAGGGATTCAGAATGAATTCATTTGTGCTAGAAACCCCTGCCCCAAACTGGGGATAAGTATTTCATTTGTAGCAAGCCCTGTGAGCTGGGCAGAGAGCACTTCTTGAGGGCTCGAGACTCTCTCATAACCCACGTGCAAACCCAGGATACACATCTTAAAAGCTACCTTGAACAATTTTATTTGTATTTCAGGATGGACTCTCAGGGATATCAGTCTAAAGCTATGAAAAAGAAATAGAAATTCTACTAGATTGAAATACTGGAAAACCAGCTAAAAATTCTGATCTTGAGTTATGGGCTTCTCTCATCACCCTGTTTGAAACATTTCACTAGGATGTGGCACAGCTCCTTTTTGTCACTCCTTTCTGCTGTCCCACACACTGCTCTGGAACAGGCCCAGTTGCCAGCTGCTACCAGAGATGATCCCTAACCCATACACTCAGAGCTGTTACTGGCTCTATGTTTCTAGCCAAACAGCGTAGGTTTCTAAATCTGGCCTAATCTCTAATCAAGAACACCAGATGATCAAAGCAAGAGGTCTGAGGAATAAGACTCCAACTTGCATCCTGTCTTGGGCTTGGCTGCAGCAGCTGAAGGACTCCGAGCCAAAGGGCTGGACTGTGGACCACAGCAGCTCAGAAGCTGCCACTGAGCTGCCTCCACTGCTGAGGAGTAAATGTCTAGCAAGGACGCAGCAGGATCAAACACAAACCCTAACTATCAAGCTTCACAGCCCAGTCACTCTGACCAGGAATTGCTGGCTGAGCGCACTACCCCAACTGAAGGTGAAATGTCAGTCAGCCAGTCCTTCCTTTCATATCACAGTGACTTCTGCTAAAGGGATAACAAAGGGACAAGAAGTTTCTCAGTAACACCAGCACACCTCTTAAGTCAAAGCCCTCCAAGCAGCTTTAGCGATCAACTACCTAAAGAGCAACACTACAAAGAAAGAAGGAAAGTCCATTAATATAGCAGCTGATGCATGTAGAATCCTGGACTCACTACGTGAGGCCACTCAGCTTCTACAGGGGGAGAAGTCTAGAAACACTCATCACAGCCACACTTAGCCAATTCAGGACATGCTGGCAAAATAAGATCTTCACAGTGGGCAGAAATTTCATCCTGAAAAAGTTCCCAGAGCTAGGATGCCAACCAGAGGTCAGTCAGCTCTCCCAAGTTTACAAAAATGAGTTGACAATTCACCCAAGGACAGTCTCCCAGGACTGTAGGATTGCAGTTCTGCTGCAAGCCTGAAACACAGTAGCGGTTTGTTTTCTCTTGAATTTGGGAACTTCCAACAAAGGTCATGAAGTGCAAAAGCAAGTGGGTAGTGAAGGAGAACAGCCACCAACCATACTGGCCTTAAAGCTCAGAAAGCTCTTGGTTTGGGTGGTGAATGGAGATGAGTACTTAATTCTACTCTCATTGGTTGCTCATTCTGCATTCAAGCTACTATAGGCCTGACTTGATGCTCACACTTCACTAACTTTCCACCAGGTTTCAGTGACAGCAGGACTGGATCTTTCAAACAACACATGTACCATGCAAGCCAAAAAATGCACACATTACACAGATTACATACACAGACTCATGCAAAGCAGCAGAGGGCACACAAGCCCAGCCAGTGTCTGACAGCCCCACAGACTGCGGCAGGAGATGGAGATGGTGTGGGTCAGCTGGACTCATTGCAGGGCCCATGCACAGCGCAGCCACAGGAAGCCACCTCTTCACCTGCAAAGAGAGCTGGCTCTGCACAGAGACAGAGTGTGCATGCTCTAATTAAGTGGTTCATGCACTGGTACAAGGCTCAAGTAAAAGCAGGCTGCTGCATGTGGTCCCCAAAGGCCTACAAAACATATATAAACCCACAGTTTGCAAGTCTGGCTTTCTGCCCGTACACATGTATACCAGTCATTGTACCAGTCACCACAGCAGGCTGCAATGCTACCTCTGAAGGTCTACGCTTGCAAGGAACAACACAAGCTTGAATCTGCTTTCTCTACTGAGACTGCAAAAACGCAGACCACCTGTTGGCAGCACACAACCTTGGCACTACCACGAGCAAAATGGCTGCAGGTACCGCATCCTGAGGTTTCCCTGCACGTACTCCAGCATCCTGAATGCTGTACATATCCCCAGCAGCTCCATCAGAAGGGCCTTATGGCTTCACAACTTCAGGCTCTAAGAGACAAACAATGAAGCTAAGGGAGGTGATCACAGCCACTAGATCCAGAAACATCGCATTCAAGAGAGATCCCCAATTGCCTCTGCACAGAGGTATTCTACACACACACTGTAATGCTGCTATTTTGTTTCCAAAACCAAAATCTAATCCTGCCTCCCACAAGACCAGCTGAAGTACGGAGACAGAAAAGTTTGAGGCAACATTACTTCCCTTTCTAACAAAGTTGTCATCAGCCTGTCCACAGTGACTGTGCAGAAGTGCAGCCACGCTGCAATCTGCCTCTGTGTAACACATACAAAAGGCTCCACTGGAGCCTGGTGTGCAGATTCCCCAGCCCCCATCCCAGGCGCTGAGGGCTGCTGCTTTTCCCACATCACTTCTTTATTCAGGGCCAGATACTACACTGCAAGCTGTATGGATGCAGATCCAGACTAACTGCTGATTTGAGTGAGAACCCCTCAGTTCACAATACTTTTGCCAACTCATAATGTGGTAATTCTTCTAACTGACTGTGACTCCATTTTCATCCCACTGCATACAGTTAAGAGATTCCTCCTTGCATTTAGTTTAGCAAGAACAGTTTAGCTATTCCTTGTCCTGAATCTGTGATCCCAGCTTTTTTTTTTTTTTTTTTTTAAACACTAAAGAAGGACATAAGCAGAGTTTGAAAAACCATGGGTCAACGCAGGGAGCCAGGCTGCAAACTGCAGCTCAGATTGCAGCCTTCTGGAGCAGAAGGGAGAGAAATGCAAATACTGAACTGTAAGGCATTTCAGGCAACCGTGTTTGCATTGCACCTAGTGCGGCAGGGTTCTAGTCCGGAGAGGGCTGGAAGGCTGCAGATAAAGTGCATACAAAGGTGCCCAGAGAGAGTAGTGAATGCACACGCAGCTGAACGTCAACCCCGTTAAAAATAAGTACTTCTAGACTGAAAAACACACAAACCATTTACATTCACGTGCCTCCCGTGTAACCTACCGTGCGCAAAGAACACGACTCTGGTAGCAGGGATACAGCCCAGGCCAGCTCCTGCCTAGCGCACCGCCTCAAAGGAAATCGGCCCAGCATAACAAACATCACAAGTTACTGCCCCTTGTCATCCCTGGTCCTTGTTACCTGGATGGCCCGAAAGCACCCGAGACGACACCGCCCATCCTTACCTTTAGCTGGAAAGGCTGAATTTCGTTCAAAGTCTGGTTCCTGAGCTTTTTGGTGAGGACCTTCAGCATGGTACAAGTCCGAGGAGCCAAGAAGGGGTTAAGCACACGCGCACACCTCCAAACGCCCAGCCGCCGCCGCCGGGCTCGCGGCAGCGCGGCGGGGCTGGCATCCAGCGCCCGGCACGGCGCGAGGCGAGGCGAGGCTGCGGCCAGCCGTGCCCTGGGTCCTGCCCCTCGTTGGGGGCCGCGGGGCGGAGCGAGGCCCCACAGAAATAAATACCGCACTTCCCCTGCCTTTCTCGCCGCTACGCTTCAGGAAGGAGGCAGGCACCGCGCTGCCGGGTGCTCACTGAGGGCCGGCGAAGCCCCCCGCCGCCCGAGGCTCCGGGCCCCGCTCGCGGCAGCAGCGCCGCCTGCCCGCCGCCTGCCCGCGGCCCCAGCCGGGCATGGCGCCCCCCCTCCCAGCCGCCCCGGGCCCCGCACGGCCGCGGCCGCCCCGCGCTCAGCCCGCAGCGGGGAGCGCCCAGGCAGCGGCGCGGCAGCCGCGGCGCCCATTGGCCGGTCGGAGCGGGCCGGGGCAGGGCCTCCGCTTAAAGGGCCCAGCGCCCAGCCCCCTCCCGGCCGCGGGGCAGCGCCGGGGCCGCTCTCCAGTGGGGCTGCGGTCTGTGAGGCCGGGGTCCGTGCCCCATAGTGCTTGACAGCTGCGGGGCCCTCCTGGCCTCTGGGTTGGAGGAGCGTTTAGCCTAGAGACGGGAAGCTCGGGTTAATCTCATCAATGTGTGTGAACACCTGAAGAGGATGCATTGAAGCCAAAGCCAGGTTCTTTTCAGTGGTGTCCAGAGCCAGGACAAGAGGCCATGAACACAAACTGGAACATGGGAGGTTTGCTCTGAACATCAGAAATCAATTCTGTGCTGTGCAGGTGATAGAGCTCTGGCACGGCTTGTCCAGATGCTGTGGAGTCTCCCTGGAGATCTCCAGAAACTGCCTAGACATGTTCCTGAGCAGCCTGCTCTGGATGTCACTGCTGGAGCTAGGGCTGGAGCAGGTGGACCCGAGTTCCCTGCCGGCCTCAGCCATGCTGTGACTCTGTGAAGCAGTCCTACATGCTCACCCACAGCCTGCTCACAGCAGGAAGATAACATTCTAGATGCCATGCGCTGCCTGTCATGCCCCCTGATTCAAAGCCCTGATCCACAGGGAGTAGTTGTGTATGTCATCTCAAGTCCCTTGAGCCACCTGGACAGCTTCCAAAAGGCGTGAAGTAGCAGGGAAATTCACCAGACCCTCTTCTAACAGCAAGTGCAAGCACAGGACCAGGAAGACATAGGTTCTTACTGCACCACCGCTATTTAACTGCAACAATTGCTTTTTCAGGCATAGCAAGGTGCTCCATTTCCATGGCCAATTCTCCAGCACCTCCCTGGCAAAACAGTCAGAAAAGCTATCAGGGACTGACCAATATGATCTTAACACCTTTGAACTCACAGGAAGCCACCAAAATATTTCCAGAAGTGCTGGCCAGCAGGCCATCAGTAACACTAACAGACTTTTAGGCACTGCCAGCTCCATGCCAGAGATAAACTCTCTGTGCCTCACCCACTGCCAGGCCTTTGGGGCCACCAGAGCCTTTTGTCCAAGTCTTTTTCCTGGAAAAAAATCTGAAGCCTTGAGGAATTCTCTTTCAGTTTGCGTGCAAATTCTGGAGCAGCACAGACTGGTTTGCATATCAGTTCCCTGTTCTCAGACAGCATGCCTGTAACAAGATAAGGAAAGAGCATTTGTAAACTATTGACTGCAGGAAAAAAAAAGAAAAAAAAAAAAAGAGGAAGGAAAGAAAGGAAAGAAGGGAAAGAAAGGAAGAAAGAAAGGGAAAAAACAAAACAAAACAAAGTGTCTTCATTTTAAGGAACAGGAACTCATCTTAGCTCCAGATAACAAAGTATTTTTTTTTAAGGTCTGCAACAAGCACAGAGTTTGAGACAGAGACTAATCCTTCTGCCTTTTAGGATAGTGCTGCCTTTGAAGAAGCTGGCAATAGTAGTAACTCATTTGTTATATCATATTTGCTGTCTGAATTCTGCATTCGTATCAAGGAATTATTTTTACCTATTTCACCCCCATTTCATGCCAAATTGAAATCCCCATCCAACCTTAAGACCCCAGGTCACCATACATCGTTCACCATACACTCTTCTATGTATTTCTGGTTTCCTTACTGCCTGGATACAGGCAAACAGGTAACAGTGTGTTACCAGCCCTAGCGTCCTGCTCCTGACAGGAGAGAATAAAATGCCAGATGAAAACAGAAGTCCTCTGTATCAATATGCAATAACACATTTATTGTTAGATAAGAATTACTCCTGACTGCTAGCTGATAATCAAGGCGCATCTGAAAGCAACTGAGAATCTCTTACCATTTTCTTGCCCTGATGAATATCACTTAAGAAGATTCTTTTTTTTCTCTCTTCTTTTTTTTCCCTCATATAATGCCAAATTCCACAGAACATTGTTTGTTCCTCATTCAGGCCACGGAGCCATTGGCTCTACTTGTAATGGTCTTTGAGATATGACCCTACTGGTGGTCCAGTCATCTTAAACTTCTGGATACGAGAGCTTTCCCGTATTTGAGCTCTCTGTGTTCAAACGCTGAGACAGGCACTCCAGCTGTTTGTCTCATGGCAGAGGAGAAGCTGCCTAAAGCAGAACAGCAGAACTTTCCATCTCATCCACAAACAGCTCGCAGTCTCTCCCTGACCCCACACCATCCCACTAAGGCGCAGAACACAGCAGTGACGGCAGCCTGGTGGGTTTGATGGTAGGATGCTTAACTTGTTCCCAGGCCAGAGCTGCTATGGACAAACAGCAAAACCAGATGTTAGTGAAGCTTTGTCACAGCACTTGTGATGTGAAAGAACCTAATACTGTAATTCCGTGTATTAGCTCTGCTTCTGCAAACTTTGCCTAGCCATGCTTCAGCAGATATCTGCAGAGCAACTATTTCTTTCTTGCTTCCTATTTTATATAACAAAAATAGCCAGAAGCACCAACTTCAAGTACACCCCAGCATTTTGGGCCTGAGTTATACATACTCTTTCCAGTGTTTTGTTTTTATTCTGTAAGCATTTATGAGTTCCAGCAGGCTCAAGAAAAGTTTGCACTCTCAAGTTCCTCCCCAGCTAACCTCACTCCTCATGCTAGTAAAGTACTGCTGTCTCTGATCTACAACCACAATGCCAGGAGCAGCTGACTGGCAGATCACAAGCTCCTCATTGACCCATGGCACCCAGCATCTCCTCTGAATAAGGCACAGCAACGTGCAGCTGGTAATTTAGTAGAGGTCCATAGTAAAAGCCCTTGCAAAGAGAAGAACTGCAACCTACTGCCTCTTTCCCCTTGATTTGTCCTTTCCCCAGTGACAAGGCTTGACATGTGCAGCTGGAGACAGGTCATGCTGCTGCATCACACATTGGAAAGAAAGCTTTGTGAGAAGTCTGGAGGTTGTGTTCCTCCCTGCATACATGGGTTGCAGAATATTACCAAGTAATTTATATCCAAAGGATAACAAAATATTTTCCAGGTGTAAGTAGTAGAACTATTTCTAATGGAGAAAATGAAAACCATGGAAGTTTACTTGACTTTCTGAAGGTCACAGGAAAACTGTGGAACATCCATGAATAGAAGCTGTATCTCTTGGACACCAGCTGTGTGCTCCCAGACTATCTCAGACTGTAGCCTAGTCTGTCAATAGATCATACTACTGGAGCTATGCAAAATTTAGTGTTTTTGTTTCCCAGGCATTTCATGTGATCAGTTTGCTTGGGTTTTGCTTCCTGTGGGTTTCTCACTCTTGGATTTTTGATCTGAATACTGAGTTCAAACCAAATCTCAAACCCAATCAAAGAGGCCGAGTTTCCTCTGGCTACTTGATAAAACATGACTAAGCCTTTGCATAACATTTATGACAAGCCCATATGCCAGCTCCAGCATTGCTCAAAGATCTATTTAAGTTCCTGATGGCCAGTCCAGAAGCCAAAGGGAGGCAAATGGTAAGCTTCCTCTGCAGGAATGCGTTGCACTGTGGTGAAGGAGAAGATAAGAAGCTGTGTGCTGAGCCTGAATCCTGGTTCACTCCTCCAGTACATACACATTATTGCCTGGTGCTGTCAGGAGAAGATACTTCTGGAGAACTGCCTTGCTTTTGCTGTGCCATGTCTTTCCCCCTGCCTTGGAGATATTGCTCTCATGACCAGACAGTACAGACCAGACACAAGCTACGAGGGGTGAAGACAGTGCAGCAAGGATTAGTTTAATGCATAGATTCCCTCCGAGCTGTGTTTCCCATTGTACCTGGAGGACAACTTAATACCCTCTGCAGCTTATCTCCTGACTGCCTACCACTGACACTGTAAAGATGCAAGAACAGAAACATGTGCAAGTGCAGAAGGCCCCATTAGGCCTGGCCAAGCCTCCTCTTAAGGAAAAGGATGCTGGCTTTATCCTTGGAAATCACTTGGGGATTTGCTTGGCCCGTGAATCATTTTTCAGCCTCCTTTTCCCGCACACTTCCCTGTGCTGTGACATGACCGTGCTCCATCAGCACAAAGCAGCCTGAACATCTCCGTGCTAACAGCAAAAACCTGCCGGGGAAAAAGCTAAAGTGCCATCTATTGGGGATCTCCACTTATTACATCGAGGGAGAGGGATGAGCTGGAAAAAAAAAAAACAACAAAGCAACACGATCATCCATCCATCCTTTAAATTTATGCCCTAACTGGGCGATGTCCGAGACAAATGCTAGAGCTACAGCCAGCTCTGGGCATGGAAAGTGTGTCTGTTTGCCAAGGGTAATGCTAAAAGAGAAGAGCGACGCAGAATCAGGATGAAAGCTGAGCCTAGGGCTAGATTGGAAAGAGACATGGGACCAAAGCCAGGCACAACTTGAATGGTGGCACAGAGCAGGGCCATCCACCAGCTGCCTCAGTCACAGTCCAGTGTGTGTCAGCAGAAAGCAGGCCACTGAGCTCTGTCCCTGAGCTAACTACCATGGCATTTCTCCTCTTAGCATGTGAATTGCTTGGCCTGTAGGCTCCTCCAGAAGGGACTGTCTCTGACTTCGCCTTTGAGCAACGTTTTTTGCCTTAGAGAGGTCTATGGAAGTCAAATCTCCACCTTACAAACCATAAACACCATTTAGTCTGCTGCAGGGATAAAGCTGCAGCGTACACAAGTGCTCTCTAAGCTCTGTCACTGTGGTCTTCAAACCATGAGCATGGGGCAAACAATTGAGAAAGATCCCACAGGCAGTCACAAAGGACTCCCTCTACTGAGGCTTACAGGCACCCACGAGTGGAAACTGGCCACTGCTATCTAACAGCTACAAATCAGATAGCAAATCTATCCCCAGACTGAGTCGGCTGTTGTCAAGCAAAAACTTTGGACATTCAGGGAGTGTCAAGAAGGACTGGTGAGACATAGCTGACACTAGTAGGTATCTGGTACCTTTTACATGTCTGATGCATGCAAGGACTTAGGATGCATGCTTTTGTAGAAGCCATTTTTGTCTGGTACAAGAGGTAGAAAAAAAGCAGAAGAGAAATTGAAGAGAAAAGTGTTCAGAAATTTCTGATCTCCACTATTAGGTACAGTAACAGTGACCATGACAGCATAGACCACATGACTGCAGTAAGAAAAAGAGACAATATTTTCAACAGTGCTGCTGGTCTGTTAGAACTCCCTTGATGCCTGCTCTCATCCTCCAAATCATCATCAGTGCCAGTTGGAGTCAGTGTGTGATGAATATGCTACAAACCAGGAAAAACAGAATTGCAATTGCAGTTTACACTGTGCACCACTATGTATCTGGAGCTACAAACATTTGATTCTCTGTGAATGGGCCTGGAAGGGACCTCATAATACCTACGTGGCAGTGGAAAGCATGGGCAGCACTCCCAGAGGCAGTGGTTCATCTTGGCCAGCTCAAAGCATCAGGATAGCAGGACAGCCTGGCTCCTCAGAAATGCAAGCAAAAAGAAGCGATGGCTTTTGCTTTAGATAGCTTCTTCTAACCCCTTGAGGAGAAGAATCATCATCTGACTAATGGATCTCTGACCTTCTTTCCTCCAGATACACTCACTGCAACTCACTGATGTCTTTCTTTTCAAGTACCTTAATAAGTCCCCAGCTGGGATCATATAGTGGTATTGAGCCCTGTCATGCACCTAGCAAGGAGCAGTTAGTCTAAAGAGAAATGAAATATTCTGTGGGGTTCATCTTACCCCCACCGAGAGGGCCAACAAACTCATCAGCTGCCTCAGCTTTGAAGTCTTCAGGTCAAAGGCAAGAAATATCAAGCTACAGTACTTAGAAGGGCAGCATCAGAGAGAATGGGCTTATGTTCCTACAGAAGCAGGAAATCTCTTAAGCAAAAGCCCTAGGAAATGAGCACATGCAGCCTCTGCAGAGGAAGGGAGAAAATATTATGGTTGCTAGTTTGATGTGGGGGGAAATTCCTTTCTGGAACTTCCTGACTGCCCAGACAGCCTCTGGGCTCATCCCAAGTGTATAAACAAGACACAGCTTTCAACATCAAAGAGGTTTCCCAGTTCCTATAGCTGGCATGCCATCTAGATCTGCATTTTTGCTCAGCTTTAGTACTCCCAAGGAAAGTTAAAAAAAGAGCCAGGTTAGAATCAGCAGAGAAAGGAATTTCAGTAAGTATTTCCAGGAGGAACAAGTCTAATCTGCTGCCTTGCAGTTCATCCCAGCATGAGCAGGGTGCTTTGGTGAGGAGAGCAACAGTCCAGCTGTACCCATATGGCACCCCAGCTGAGCTAGCTTGCAGGACAGTGCCTCATGGCAAGCCTGGCCACTCAGATTGCTGTCAGATTATCAGAAAACACCAGCCAGACACAAGTGAAGCTTCATAGAACTATCAGGGCTGCTTTGCAGCCTGCATGCATCTAATCTCCAGCTGCTGCCAGGCTCCATGGGAGGTGAGGAAGACAGCTCTGTGTCCACTGAATTCATTATGTAAAGGTTGCTGTGGGATGCTCTCAGAGCAGCAGAGAAGGCTGGGGATAGGCGTACAAATACTGCTTGAGGCCTCTGCAGCAGTGACAAGACAGCAGAATCTTCAGAGGAAGGCTCGGAAGTAAAACAGCCCTTAAAATAACTGCAGAAATGAAAAGTGCTTTCATGACTTGGGGTGTGTGGCCACAAACCATCCAGAAGGGGTCCAAGCATCCAGGAAAACGGAACTTTGAGAAACAGAACAAGACAACCTGTCCTCAGAGTCTCTGCCTCATAAGCTTTGATCACTGAACTCAGTAAGGCAGGAGAGCACTATGGACTTTTAGAAGCTTTTTGCAATGAGAGTAAATCATAAGCATGTCATCTACACTTTGCTTTCTGAACTCTGTGACTGCACGCTGCACATTCCCCAGGCTTCCCTAGAAGCCAAGGCCAAACACTGAAACTTATATCAGTTTGTAAAACTAAGGATGGCTTTTGGCACGCTGTCCACCAGAAATCCCAGCTAGAACAGTTCTCTAAGCAGCATGGCTGTATAAACAAGGATGAACACGGCCTTGGAAGGGAGGAAATGAGAGTGGGATCAAAAGCAGCAAGCTCTGCATGCAGGCATGCTAGCACTAAAAATGGTAGGAAAAGGAGGTCAAAGACTAAGGGACAGAAAAGGGGTCAAAGTGGGATGTCATGGAAATTTTACTGCAAGTTCCTCCCTTAAGTCTCCCTGTTCCTAAGCTACAAACTGTGCTAAAAGCACTGTCACGACAGAAGCAGGAGCTGGCTGCTCAATCACTACTCCTGTCCTACAAACCTCATCTGTGGAGAGACAAGCTAGAAAAAACTTACTAAATGCCTAAGTACTTATTTTGCCTGTATTACATAATAACCCTCACTAGAGGGCAGACGAGACCACGTATTTGCCTCTAAACCAGCTCACGCTTGAAATAGAACCCCTTTAGGAAGCGAGATACACCTGAGCCAGAGCCTCAGTTGCTTTTGGGGTTTTCCCAGGTCTTCCTCTATGCTCACATGAGCTAAGAGCAGGAAGTGGGATTACCACATAGCAGTAAAGCCTTATGTTGATGTGCACATATACAAGCATCTAGCAGGAAGTTGAGCTTCATTAGCCAAAGGTCTGGGTGTCTCCCACACAGCCAGCCAGGGAAACAGTCCCAGGCTCCACACGCTCCCTCCTCAGTGCTTAAGCCCAAGGACAGTGCAAGAGCCAGAGGAACAGGCCTGCCACCAAATCCCACTCTAGCATGAGCTCTCGTCATTCAGGAGCATGAGAGAGGCACTATAGCTACATACTTTTCACACTCTGCCACCATGTTCCTGGCCCTCTAGGAGAAAAATAAGTATCACCTACACATCCTGATTGCATACAGATGAGGCAATGCAGAAACAAATTCCCTCCATTGTAGCTTCTACACTGTGGCCAGCATTCCGGGGGGGAATTAATGAGTAATTTTACGGGGGGAATTAATGAGTAATTTTATGAAGCTTGTTTTTGAAAAACTTCCTTTTCGGCTGTATTCTGGCTCCCTTCTAGATGGGTGATGTGCCCAGATGCATAACACTGGATCCCCCAAATCAGCCTGTTCGCACACCATGAAGAAGCATGGATAGCAGGTGCACAGTATTCAGCCTCTGGGAGACCCACTTAGTACATACCTAGCAAATCACAAAAAAAATGAGACAGACAGATTCAGTTCAAAGGATCAGATGTTAACCTCAGTCACTTTTCAGCCCTTCACGTTTCTCCCAAAGGCATTCTGAAGATGCAGCTAAATTTGCACCCTATATGGCCTATGGATACTCCCTAGACTTGCAGATAAACAGGCTTTCAATACAATTCTGCTCAGTTCCTTGCTTCAGTCACAGCAAATCATCACCGTGGTATCAGAGCCATCCCAATACATGTTCACAGATTGGGATGGACAGGTACTATATGTTTATACACTGCATAGTAGCAATCCTACCAGACTCACGCAGATAACAATAATGTTAACGTTCATCACTGTGCCCTGGCCATGTACTTAAATACTAATGTGGTGGCTATACTGATAAAAATAATGATCAAGTTATTGTAAGAATCAGGATAAGAGGTTAACATCCAGAAAGAGTTATGAGAAAAGAGCTATGATTAGACCAGACAGATGGGTCAGAAAAAGTGTGCAACTTGGAGCACTGTAACAAGCATCCTTAGCAAAGACATAATGTTCTTCCATATTAACATAGGTTTTCTGCTATCTGTCCTAAGCCTTTCTGTGTCATTCTTCAGGGAACACAGAAACACTAAAATCTCAAGTCTGTTCGTATAGTGAAAACTCAATAGCACAATTCCCAAGAGAGATTATACCACACAGATCAGTATAGATTAGTATAACTGAATATACCTTGCAGCGCTGTTCCTTCACAAAATCTAGCTAGTCCCTCTGATTTCATGTAGTAAAATTAGCATTATCTTATAATATCCAGAATTTACCTGAAGGCAAAGGAAGCTGTTTCCTACAATGCCTGATGAAGATTAGACACCCTTTGAAAAACTGCTGTTTCATATGTTTTTATTTTTGCCTTGTGTGTTGGGTACCTTTGTTCCTAAAAATATATATTAAAAAAAAAAAAAAAAAAGTGTTAATTAAACAGAGTTCACACTGTTATATACCACTGTCACGATGGCAGCGATAATATCACTTTTTACTTACAAGCTGCTTCACCTTGCAAAGAGTGTCTGCTATTTAGGAAAGAAAAAAAAAAAAAACAACAACAACAACAACAACAAAAACACAGTTAAAGACCATTATCTCCAGAAGAACTGGATTTTCAGCTAAGATGATAGAAGAGTTAAAAGAATTAATGCCTATGTCCACTAAACAAAGCAAAAAAAAAGACAACACCCACAATGTCCCATAAGCTTGATCTTGGGAGAAATCAAGCATCTAAGTCCAGGCACGCAACTCTTAAAACCCTGCCTAATCCCTTGGGCTCCTAGACTATGTCTATACCGCTAATTTAAACATGCCTAGGACTGTTCTCTGTTCTCTGTTCTCTTTTGAAGAGTAAACTGGCACAGACCAAAACTATGGTGAGAATAAATTCCTAGGAATCAGCTTATAACTTCATAGACGATTGAGATGTAGTGTCCCAGAACATTTGCTAGTACAGATGTAGCCCCCAAATCCCTGTCAAATGCACATAGAGTATGTATATATACACTTACATATTATCTATATATACTTCTGTGGAATTTTGTGTACTTAAACTGTATACTTATAAGTACCAAGTTTTGTCTACGTAGGAAGGATTTCTTGGCATGAGCACGTCAGAGAGGCGTTCACATTGCTGGCTGACTAGTAATCTCAACTTCCAAGTGTCTTCATTCCTCTCTTCCACATTGACCTTGAGTTTCTATCTTTCCAGACACTACAATTTTGTTCTGCATAACCGGAAACGGGGGAGATGGGGGGGGGGGGAATTTTCACACTCATTTTCACAACTGGAGCATGCACTCCTCCATGCTTAGAGGTGTTTGCCTGGAGAGTGCTTCCACTTCTGAGATTTGCTGCGGACCTCTGCAGCACAGTTTTACACACACGCTGTGCAAGGGCAAGCAGATCCCAGGAGCAGTGATGAGCCTAGAGCTCTTCTGTGAGCGAGCACCTCAGGAGAGTGGCAAGGGCCTGAGCCTAAAGCCAGAGCAATGCACTCCGTGACTGACCAAGCTGAGTCAGAAGGAAATGAGCTGCTCCACGGTAGCACAGCAGGAACTGCTGCAAGGACTCAGTCATACACACAGGCAGGCAGGGCAGCCTGTAACTCAAAGCACGTATAAATGTGCTTCGCAGCCGGGGTTTGGCAAGCCCATGCCTTGACATGGCACCGACATGGCTTGGGGAACCTCCGCTGCAGGCTGGTGTGGGCTGCCTTGCTCAGCCCTGAACCCAGGCGTATCTCCTCCCGTCACAAAATCCCTCCCGGCGCCTCTGGCCGCCGCCCGCCCTCCCCTCGGCGGCGTTTCTCAACTTGCCCGTCAGGGGGCAGCAGCAGCGCGCATCAACGAGACCCGAGCAACGGCTCCAACGGCCGCCGGGGCGCGGCGTCCCGCCACGGCGGCTGCCCGCCTGTTTTGGAGCCTGCAGCTCCCGAGGAAAGCTAGGAGCCCATCCCGGTGGTGGGAAGAGGGCATCTCTAGGTTCTCTTCACGACAGTAGGGCGGTGGCACTGAGCTGCCTTCCCACCACAAAGCACACAGATCCGAGGTGCAGGTACATCCTGTTACAGACTTCCTTTGCTGTGGTGCAACCCCTTCTTGTAAAAGTTGAGACATCGAGGCCAGTTGCAAGACTGCGTATGTGAGCGCCTGCCAAGATTTTCCCAGAGTCAGGGCTTGCCGAGTTCCTTCCCCTTCCTCCACCCACCGAATCCGGCTGGGTTACTGGAAACGCTACAGTTTCCATCCACCAGTGTCTTCAGGCCACCACCTATGGCAGAAAGGGATTTTTCCAGGAAAGACACATTAGTACTATTGCTCAGTACAGAATCAGTCCCAGCTTTTGTTTTCCTACTAAAACTGTTTCATTTCCCTTACTGAAAAGGGCCTTCAGAGTCCCTATGCTGTCACTTGACAGCATAAACTACCAGAGAGGAAAAAAAGTCAGTTGAATCAGTGTTCTTCAAACTCCTGGATGCAGCCCGGTCTGCGTAAAACTCACGTGTAACCAAGCTGTCACTTCTGCAGTGGCCAACAAGCCTGCACAGTGTCTCCTCCTCCTTCCAAACACTAGGAAACTTGAGAGGAGAAAACAAATGAGTGTGATGTTCTCTAAAACAAGGAACAAGACTATAAGAATAAAAAAAACAATAATTTTTTTTAAAATCTGGATTACAGAGCGAGCTTTCGTTTTCCAAATCCTTGGTCACCTTTCTTCATCTCCAAACCTCATTATTTTCAGTAGGGCAGCACCTGACCCACCTGCTCAGGGTTGGAACATTCTGATGAAGGTCACTATGTTGGCAGGTGTTTTAATTACATCTGTTTAAAACGACAATTGGATCTTTTTATGATAATAACCTCAAGTAAAATCAGAATGCCAATTAACGAGAGGTGGAGAACACACCATTAACTAAGGCAATGAAGCTGTAAGTCAGGGCTGAGAGGTTCTTGCTCTCTTTCTCAATGCTGGTTTATTGAGAAAGTATGTAGTTTTGCAAAAGCTACTTAGCTTCTAACTGCCTTGGCTCCTCCATCTGCAAAATGGAGGAAAATGCCTTTTGCACAGCAGCAATGTGAGATTTATTTAAATAAATAGCACTGGCAAGGTTCTTGGAAATAGTCAGATAAAACATGTCACCTATGAACAGAGTACAAAATAAATACGGCCGATAGCTTTATCGTGAGGGAAATGGAAATACCTTTGTCTTTATGACACTGAGAAATATGGAGAATGAACTGATCCTTTTTACATTTATGCCTTGCATTTACTTGCTGAACATTCCCTACAAGATGTTTTATTTGCTATTGGGTAAGACTCAGAAGGACTAATGCATTATTTTCCTAGCACATTAGACACAACACTATAGAGAGTGAAACACGAACAGAGAAACATCCAGAGGCTTTCTTGTACCATCAAAGATGTAGGAAAGGAATAAGGAAAGGTGGCAAATCATAGTTTGCCCAACTGAGAGACCAAAAGAGGAGAATCATCAAAAGCAGCCAGAGGCATCTAAAATGAAAACACAATTGAGTGGGAAGAAAACAATCCGCAACACAGAAATAAAGCCCCTAGTGCCTTTAGGCACATTCACATTCAAGGGCAGGGGCCAGATAAACTGACAGTTATCTTGATGCTCTTCCCTGGGGAGCAAGGCATTAGGTGCACTGTGCATGTAATAAAATGGTTTTAAGCACTTCTATGCCTGCCAACACTCTCTGCTACTTGCTTCTCAGGCAGCTAGAATCTTCCTCTCAGGATGGCTTTCCCCAGCAGCCTTACCTGAAACTTTAAGGCAAGCTCATCTTTATTCTGTCAGCAACAACAGTGGTAAAAGATTGCATCCACAGCCATCGTTGTCACTCCAGCAGATCTACCAAGGTACAAGATTTGCTAAAGCAACTTGTTAAAGACTTCCTGGATTGGGCCCTTCTGAAAGCACAAGGCTTTAATCATATCTCAGGTGCTCCTTTTTCTGCAAATTCCAGCACCTCCCCCCCCCCAGTGACCTGATGCATGATTATCATTAAGTGATGCTGGCCAGCTGTGCTCTACCTTCACAACCATAACAGCACATAGTAAGTCAGGTCTGCACAATACTACAGCATGGAACAGGCTAGAAAGGCAGGTAGCAAAATCTCTCCCTATACGCACATAGAAATACCTTGACATGCTTTGTAATGGCTTCTACGTTAAGTTCTTGACCCACACCCACTAAATATGTTCTCTAGTTTTGACATCCTCTGCATGCTGCTGGGACCTCAGGATTCTTCCTTTTGTTTGAAAAAGACCTTTGGTTTCCTTAAGAGTTTGCACCCGCAGTATAAGAGCAGGCCTGTAGTTGCCTTTCCCTCCTGTATATTCACATGATAGGAGAACTGGACTGGTGGGAACTTTTGGACACTACACTCTGATGAATGGAAGAGGTACAGCAACCCACAAAATGTGAGAAAAGCTGATAGCACTATAGGCTTCTTGTTATCTCCAGGTAGTTAGGGTGTGATCCAGCTTTAAGAACCTCCAGCCAAATTGTCTGCTGTTTTTCAGCAAGATGCATAAGGCAGAAAGAGCACAGCCTGATCCCCACCACAGGCTTGGCTTGCCAGGTTGATGGCAGAGTGCTTTAGGTGTAAAACAGTGAGAAGAGCATTAGCATCAGAGCTGTCATTCCTTCCAGCTCAAAGATTTGCTAGGGAAAGCTGGTCTCTTGTTTTCTTAGATCAGAGAAGCTTGGTTTGACTCCAGAGAGATTAAAGGTGCTGAACTGGGAGGGAGAAGAGTATCAGATCCTGTCATTAATAAAGGACTGGTTGCAAGTCTGAGGAAGGAGTCTACTCCATTATTAAGATATCTATCTCTATTCCCTCTGGGAAGCTTTGACCTGGAGGAAGGGTCTGAGGGTTCAATGTAATTCTTGAGGTAGGTCATTAAGCAGGAGACTGGTAGAAGAAGCAAGTTCTTCAATATTTTTTTCCTGCTTCTGTCTCCACAGATTTCTTGTATGAAGACAGAAGTCTTATCCGTGTACAAAGCTTACCATTGTCAAATGTTGGGAAAACTGTGACTTCAAGAACTGTTATGAAAAGCCCACAGTTGCTGAATTCTGACTGCATCTCCATCCAGTGTGACAGCATTCAAGCCACAGTTTGCTCTCTGCGTGTCCTTCCATCACTACAATAAAAAGTGAGTAGCCCAGCAGTCAATGCTTGCAACTCAGAGCAACTGGAATTGCACGGGGCTTATTTCCAAGCCTGCCATTGTGCAAGTCTGGGAAAGGCACCAAATTCTCCCTATGTCCCCAACCCCTCCCCCCCCAGTGAAACAAAACACACATCAAGCAGCAGGCTGGCTTGTCTGAACGAATTAATAGCTATAAAACAATCTGTGTTCCACACAAGTCTGTCAAAGCCATTATTAAGAATCTGACATGGGTTATCACCTGCTCCTTCAGAAGCAATGGCCGAAAAGAGGCTACATCAGGATCTGCAGAATGACCCAGCCTCTGGGAAAGATTTGACATCATGCAAATATCTAACAGTAACGTTTATCCATCACGCCTGACATAAACTAGATTTGAACCAGGCAGTCTGCAGTTTTGTAGTCAGTTGGAGCCTACAAAGATTTAAGCGTTCAAATAATGTCAGCTGCCTGAAGTCTAAATAATTTGAAGAGCAAGGCCTCAGGATAAGTCTGCCTAAATTTATGCCATTGAGAATGCCAGCCCTGATGTCTCACCTGATACCTGTGGAGAAGCAACTGTGAATTGAGAACTCACCTGATTAATGAACACAACACAGTATCTTGCTTCTTAACTCGGAGGTATAATCAGTGTTAATCTTATGGGTGTGCTACTAACTATCCATCCAAAGGGGATGTTTGTTTTGCTATTTCCCTCTTCCCTAATGGCAGTTTTTTCCCACTCTGCACAATCAGTCACTCTGCAGTTCACAGCTATAAATATTTTTGCTTGATAGCTGTAGTATTTCAGCATCTTCTACCTTAAGCTTCACCTCATACATTATCCACAGCTCCTTTGTAACAGAGGTTTTGAGCTGATCTCCTCCAGTTAAGCTATGTAAGCTGATCCATACCAGGTACCTGAAGGAGCACTATCAAAGGAGAGCAAGCTCCTGCCTTGGGCAACTCAGAGAGGATGCAAGCTGTTTGCCTGAACCACCAGAGACGGCAGAGATGTCCATTTCAGACTGAAGAAGATGGATTAGACTGGAAAACAGTGAGAGTGGAACAGAAAAGGAAAAGGATAGGAAGGGTAATGATAAGAATGGGATGAAGAAGCACATGATAGGAGAAAGGTGAAGCAACACAGCAATGGGGAAGAGGTAGAATATCTAGGGAGAAATAGGGATGAAATAACAGAGTAGGGTCCCTGACAGCTGGCATGGCTTAAGAGAAACAAAGCTGAGGAGAAGGCATATGTGGAAGAGGGGAGATTGCATGGAAGATGAACACAGTTGTGGATATGGATGGAAAATCTAGTTGCAGATATACATAGGTCCCTACCTGCTAAGTCCTAGCTATGGAAGAAGTTTTGGAGTTGCTATACAGTTAACTTAGCAAGAGCCAAAAAATTCCAACTGTTTTTGTGTGTTTATACTGAGGCTCAAGTAATGCCTAACATGATGTCTAACATGATATCTGTGAGAACAGAGGATGAAACATTGTGACCTGGAGATTCTTCTCAGGCAGAAAGCTTGGGAAGTGTGCGGGCAGTTAGTAAATAAATAGCAGAAGAAGGTAGCATTATGATTTATGGGGAAAGAGGAATAGGAAGAGTGTGCAAGGCATATGAGTGGATTGAAAGGAAAACACTGTTGGTACCATTGTTCCTAGTTTCTTGGGCAACCATGCCTACAAGTGCCCTACATGAAGCTGGCTTTGCTGCAGGCTTTACAGCTAATGTCGTTTTAATTTCTGACATGTCACTAATGGAGAAAAATTTAACATGCATTTATTCAACATCACTAAAAATACTCTGGCAGTTGAGGGGGATGGAGAATAAGGATGATCAGTGAGGGAGGCATGGAGAGGACCTGCGCTTCTGTAAGGACTTAGATGCAATGCTTACAAATGGGGGTTGGAAAGCTCTCTCCCAGTAACCTCTGCCATGAAAACCTGCTGTCAAGTGTCATGCCAGATTAGGGAGATTGGGCAGAAGATGAAAGACCCTTCTCCTAAGAGCAGCCTATTGAAGTGGAGGTAACTGCACTGCAACAGCAGTGCCTGTACCTGGCAGGTTCTCATTAGAAATAAATACTGGTAATGAAGGAAAAGTATAATCCAATTTCATTCCAGATGAGTATGTTCTGTATGGTAAGTCCCTTCACTACTGTTAACACTTGCTATGTTAGCAGTGAGTGGTAATCTGTCAGGTCTTGATCTGTTTCACACAATCTGCAACAAGTATGTGGCAGTAGGTCAGTTGAGAAACAGATGGTTACATCACTCTCTTCCTCCTTCTCCTACCTGGTGTAAAGCTGGGTTTCTGGCTCCTGTCCTGTGCTCATTCCTTGCCCCTACACGGGAAGGATTAGCCCTACAAGAGAGGTGGCAGAGGGCCTTCTGTCTTCATGCTGCAGAGTTGGATCCAGCCTTGATGCAGGTGACAGCAGCTGCACAGGCCATATAGATATGCAGCTACTTCTACCAGGTCTGGCCTACATAGCACTTTACATGCTGGGCATGGCACGTGGCACTCTGCCCTCCCTTGGTAAGCCATCCCCTGTCCTCCCTGACATAGTGGAAAGAGAATTAAATCCTTCCTGGGCCAGGAGCAACCGTGATGTCTTGAATCCCCCAGCCACTGGACTTTTGGTCAGTGAATAACAAAGATCTCAACAACAAAAGGAAGTTTGTTTGCCTGCATTAAGCCCTGTCCCTATGCTTGTTCATGAGCTATAGACTCACATAAAATGCTAAGATTCAAGCCTCCATGAGCACTAAGGGAGCTTGGATCCAGATTAGACAGTGCTTGGATGATTTGGTGATTGGCACCTTAGAAATTACTTAGATAGACAGAGCAGAGCAGAAATAGATGGGTCTTTGCAGCTTTGGCTCTTCTCTGCTAGTTATAATTATTTGAGATGATGTTTCACATCGCATTCAAATCCTGTGCAAATAGCAGCAGCAGAGAACAAGAGATCTTAGCCACCTAGGAGAGGATTATGTGGTTATGACAATGTTCAAACCCACTGGGTTCTGCCATGCTGCATTATTTAAGCCCAGTAACCAAATTTAGTAACCAGCCCCTGAGGCACTGAGAGAAAATCACAGCTTCCAGAGCTCCCTTCCCTCACAGTCCTCTCGGCTTCCTCCCTTAAAGGAGCCACCAGCTTTTCTCTCCCTCTTGGCCTCACAAGCCAGGCCTGATTTCCCACTTCTGGGAACAGTGAAGCCATAAGAATCCAACATGGAGTCATCCTCACAGGAAGCCAGAGCCATCCCATCCTCAAGCCTACAGGATGCAGGGCATGAAGGCTACATCTGTGCAATGAAGCATGTGCTCAGGTGCAGGCAAGACTGCCCTGCAAACATCATGCTTCCTGTCTGGGCTATGGCCATAGTTCTGCTCAGGCTGTTAATGCTGCCCTCTCTGCCCAGATCATGAGAAACTTACCAGGTTCTCACCTGCCTGGAAGCTTTGCAGCTCCATCTAAATCTATGTCTGAATGTACCTGCTGGTGAAGTGTGTGCAAAACAGCAATTCTGGACATATGGACAGGTTCAGGCTTGTGCTTGGGTGAGATTGCTCTTTGTCTTCCTTGCCCACTGAAGCTTCAGTTGGTGAAAAGAGGTGGGCCCAGATCCAACTCCACCAGGTCAGGCCTGTCCTCAGCAGCAGGGCTTTGTCATTGCTCCGCAAAATCACAGTGCTATAAGATGGCAATTAATGGCAAATAACTGACCAATTTTCCAAAGGACTGGGGCAAAGGAAGCCTGGGAGGCTTCAACAGACCCTATCCAATGGTCCCTCAGACCACTTATCACTTGGCTTGTATCAGTGACCAGATGCAAAGCCACAGCGTACCCTTGCCTCCCTGGTAACAAAGGAGCACTCAAGTGTACACTCCATGTACATGACCAAGCTCTCCAAAGCAAGCTGCAGGAAGGAGAGGTGGGAGGAGGTGAATATTTAACCAGCACCATGTCAGAAGCAAACACATGTCCACTGTGTTGTTCTATCATCACAAGGCATTGGTCTCATACATACATTTGAGGCAACTTTACTCCCTATGGATCCTGGCAGAGCTGGCTAGGCATGCAAAGAGGTCATTTCTGTAAAAGCCAAGCTCAGCCTCAGGGAGCCACAAAATAGTGCTGAGACCTGCTGGTACTGTAGGTGACTCCCGCCACCGCGGCTTTTAACTGCAAGGCGTGCCCTCTCCCAGGCGGCAATCGGACGCCATAGCCTCTTAAAACTGTCTGCCGTCTCTTGGATCCCTCCCTGGCCTTCAGCCCAGTGCCCTGGAGGCAGCGAGATGGAGTCTGGTGTTTACAAACACAGCTTTTATAAAACCTTGTGTGGAATGAGAAAGACGAGCAAGCCCAAGCCCCGCTGAAGTGCCCTGGGCAGAGCAGATCTAATTGGAGATTGCCAGGAACTTCTTCCTGAACTGCCTTTGCTGACCTGGATGAGCCACAGTTGAGCTGCCAAGATAAGGAGCAATGGGAACCAGCTGCAAGGGGCCTCTGTTTGGTCAGGGTTCCTGGTGAGACGGCCTTGTGTGAGCTGGGGCAAGCTGTGAGAGGAAGGGCCACTGTAGGGCTGCACAGGCAGGGGTCAGCCATGTGCTATTCTCGTACCATTCCCAGGTGCCCAGCTGTGGATGTTCAGGATTGATCAAGCAAACTCTGCTCTTGTTGCTGGGTGTTTTGTTGTTGTTGTTTGTTGTTTTGTTTTATTTTTGTAATACTCAGTCCACCCGTGCTAACCAAACACTAAGATGGGTTATTTATCACATACCTAGACTGTCACAACAATATGGCCTATTGCTCCAGTTTGCCTAAGCTGCCCCTACTCCACAGTGATTTTATCTGGAAACCATAGTTCTTCCCAGTATTCCTATTGTTCTAGTGGCCACCAGAGCCAATACCAGCACTGGCCTCTGGTGAATGGTGCCAGCAAGCTGGTAATGCTTGGCATAAACTGAGCACATCTTCTTTCC